TGGATGAATGTGAGTGGGCGAGGCTTGCACTTGCAGTACAATAAAGTTTGGAGCCTTCGGCCTACATTGGACTTTAGCAACAACAATCTCAGTGGAGCAATCTGGCCAGACTTCAGGAAGTTGAGGTTGCTTCATGTTTTGGATTTGAACAACAACAGATTATCAGGACCGATTCCGAGTAGTTTATCTGAGATGGTGAACTTGGAGATTCTGGATTTGTCACATAACGAGCTTTCGGGGATAATCCCGCCTTCGTTGGTTGACCTTAGCTTCTTGTCCAAGTTTAGTGTTGCTGACAACGAATTGTATGGGGTGATCCCTACAGGAGGTCAATTTTTGACCTTCTCAAGTTCAAGCTTTGAAGGGAACAGTCTTTGCGGTTACGGTGCTTCCCCTTGTCCATCAGGAGAGGATGGTGCTCCGGGAACATGGTACGGCAAATCAAGCAAGGATTATACCGGAGTTATTGCAGGAGTGTGTTTCGGATTCGTATTTGGAATAGCATGTTTTATTGGAATAGATAGGTACATCTGGACTTTTTAAGGAGAGTACATCCTTCTTTTTAATTATTATTTTGCATGTTCGCGACGGAATGAATAAACAGTAGTATTACCCAAAAAAATAAGTATTTTTGTTGTAAAGTGAGGAATTTCAGCACCAGGCACCACACTAACACTTAAATGGTGAGAGGTGGGAGTTTGTATCCAAGAAGTTATTTTAAATGATGGAGGTGGATGCTTTTGAATGTAACAAAAAAAAAAAAAGTTAATCTTAGTTTAAAATTTCTTGATTTTCAACATTTGATACATGAAATTTTTTTCATCCTAAAGTGGAACCTGAAGTCGTAATTTTGGGACATCTTCATACATCCGTTAAAATTGCTGTTAAATCAACCGTTAACTAATGACGTGACGTCCACATGGACAATGACTGGATGTTACGTGTCAATATGGGCCCACATGAATATTAAAAAACTATAAAAAAATAAAAATTATTTTAAAAAAATAACTTAGGTTATCTCCTACCTCCCCCGACCCTCATTCCCTTCTCCCTCTCTTCTCTCCTCTGCACCCTCACTCCCTCACTCCTTTGATCCCTCCCTCCACCTCCACGTCAGAATTTCAGGGTCATCCAGGAGAAAGATCGTCAAAACCCGTGGACGACACTAATGTCGAAGGTTTAAAGTAGCAGGAACTGGAAAAGCAGCCATGGCTGTAGATTTGCGTTTCTAGCGGCGCACGACATCCTCGTGGTTGCCCAACAACTCATCAATTTCTCTGGCGATCAAGCCCAGCAACCCTTCCGCCTTCCAAGCCTTCAAAGTGATAATTTGGGCGTCGGGTTGGGGTTTTTTCTTTTAGGTTTTTAAATTTTAAATTTTAAGTTGGATTGATCTGAGGAGAGAGAAAGGAGGGGAGGTGAAGAGGGTGGAGGATAAGGAAGATGTGGGTCGGGGAGGTGGAGGGAGGGATCAGGGGAGTGAGGGATTGAAAGTGCAGAAGAGAGAAGGGAGGGAGGGTCGGGAAGGTAGGAGATGACCCAAGGTTTATTTATTATTTATTATTATTATTATTATTATTTATATATAAATAAATTTTATTGTTTTATATTTTTTTTTAATATTCATGTGGGCCCATATTGACACATGGCGCCCAGTCATTGTCCACGTGGACGCCACGTCACTAGTTAACAACTAATTTAATAGCAACCTTAACGGATGTATGAAAATGTGCCAAAATTATGACTTCAAGTACCATTCTGGGATAAAAAACAAAAACTTCATGTATCAAATGTTAAAAACTAAGAAACTTCAAAGTAGTAAACTGAGATTAACCAAAAAAAAATAAAAAAAATACTGTAAGGGATACGAATTGGCAAAATACTTGGCTGGGAGCATGTCCTAAGGAGCTCCTCAATTTCCCCTTGTTTACATATGCTTCTCTTTGGCAGTACACCGGTGCCATAAGTTCTCCAAATTCTAGCTTATGAGGACCAACTGACCAATACGTATACATATGCTTCTCTTGGGATTTCCCCTGAATTCAGCCTCCCACCCACGCAAAATTTTAGTGTCTAGGGCCGTATACAAAATGAATGTGGTCTCTCTGTGGCTTCAAGTAATGACTGACATGTATTATTGTCATAAATTTAATATGTGTAAAGCAATGATCGAGGCACAGAGAAACCACACCCATTTTAGGTGCAGAAAATTGAGTCTAGTGGTTATTAAAGCATGTAGTGCAAGCCACTAATTCTTAAAAGTTAAAAACCTAATCATTCTTTTCTATAGATGCGATTAATTTAGCCACTAATTCTTAAAAGTTAAAAACTTAATCATTATTTCTATCTTTTTTTAATAAACGATATTATCTACACTAGAGGGGAAGGCATGTGCTTAGACTCAAAATAGATTAGCAATAATGTGATTCAACTTCGCTTTTGACGAGAATCAAACCTAAGATCTCTCACTTATAAGTGAATAGACTACTAGACCACTAACTACTAAGTGACTAATCCTTATTTCTATAAATACAATTAAATAACAGATCATCTAGGAAAACTAAATTTTAAACCAAATCTTAAGACTTAATGAAACATAAGATTAATTTTCTCTTTTATTATTTCTATAGCACGTAATTATGTGGATGATGAGTGACAGACGACATGGATCACATTTTCTACATATAAGCATCGTTTGGTACATTGATTGGCAATCTTGACTCAAAACCGCACTGTTGAGGCCATCTCTGATGGAGTGGCTAATGGTCCAAAAACTAAACATTGGTTTGATTTATCAAAAAATTCATCTTTAACTGAAGATTGGGCCGTGACATTATTTGGCCAAAGAGATATCATGCTGGCCAAATGTAGCCAGCCTCTTAGCCTATTTTTTGAGAGTCAACTCCTCAGTTGCAATAATTGATTTAAATTCAACAGTTAGATTTGAAACCATCCAAAGGTTGTTTAATTAAATTAATTAATAAAATTTAAAATACAAACTTAAAACTAATAAATTATTGAGGCGATTATGTTTAGCATTTTCGGTTAGAGATGATATATGAATATGGTCTAACACTATTGTTGACCCTAAAAATTACAAAGCCTACATGGCGCGCATGCTGAATAATTAATAAGCTAACTACGTCATTCGGTTGAATGCGGGGCGTGCCAACTCGTCGGCTAAGCTCAGCCGAGGAGTAAAATCTATTGATATTGCGTTAAGCGCGTTGCTGACTTCTTTATCTTGCGACTGTGGCCGAGGAAGTAACAAATCTCAGCCTTTGGATTCTCGAGCCTAAAGACAAAGTTGCTAATTATGTGAAGTTCACAAATCGTCGGTGCCCGATTTGGTCACAGTGATTATATTCGTAAGTATATAAGCACGTCGAATCGACACCAGACTGTACGGACACAAGTATTCAAAGGTGATGTATGTCTTGATGGTGAATATGGTTCAGCCGTCGGAATGCCGAACTTTGAAACTCACTTGTGAGTATCCAATCGTAAAATCACTCGGCGTCTAGTACGCCGAATGCCGTAACTCGTAACACCTTACTTCACCGAGAAGGCTAATAAGATGACCTCTGCCAATAAGGATTCGAAAACCTTTCTCGACCGAGACTTAGATAGGTAACCAGTCGGCCTCGACGCAGTGCTGTTTATCCAAACTGAAGGTGCTCCTCGGTCGGCTAATTCTACAACAACAGTGCTGTTTATCCAAACTGAATGTGTTCGCCAATTGCCTTCACAATGCTTTTTATCCTAACTGAAGATGTGTTGGCGAGAAAAAGAAAATAAAAAATCTCAAGATGTTTGAGAGGTTTTGTGCAGGGTAATTTTGGGTTGAATTAGAGGTCTCGAATTGTTGCATGATGTCTTGTATTTATAGCATCAACTCCTTCTTAAGATCAAATTAAACTCCTATCTGGATTGGAAGTTCTTGTTTCGTTCCAACTTTGCTTCGAACAACCCTACTCCCATTAGGACTTTGAACTCACCCCTTTTTGGAGCTTTATTCATTGTTGGTCGAGAATCTTAATTGCACTAGGACTTCCTCAACCCCTTTACTTATTTGAACTACTCATTCTTGTAATAAGACTCGACCATCCCTGCTGAATGGCCTGGAATCACCAGACAGCCCATAGTAATTTACACGGCTTTGGGCTGAGCGCAAACCAACACTCGGCCCAACAATATTATTTTGGGCCCAAATAACTATTCATTTAGAAAATAATATTTTGCAGAGCTATAATTATGAACGAGGCTATATTTAACGTTTTTGATTGAAGATGGCCTGACAATCCTTACTTGAACCTTGATCGAGTAGGGGTTTTTGGTAAGTGAAAGGATTCATTAGGAATGCCGTTTAGTTTAGATTCCCGTGACTAGCATGGAAAGAAAGCAATTAGTATTTGGAAGGTTGCTCCATTGACACGGCAAGAGTCCAGGTGGCAGTATAAGACCAGGCCAAATTTTGTTTGATTACCTTAACAGTATCAGAGGTGCAGTAATCCTTGGATTTGATTTTTTGAAATCATAGATATGGTGTCAAGTAGTAAGTAAAAAGGTGACATAGATAAATTAGGGCAAAGTCTTGTCTAATTTTGTATGGAGTAAGTTTTGTACACGTCGAGGGACAATGACTATATAGTTAATTTTTAGCGTTTGTTTGAAAGTAATTATAAAAAGACCAGCCAAGTCTTCCTTGATTTTTGTTGAGCAAGGTTTGTTGTACACGACAAATAGATAGACAATAACTATAAATGTTGATCTTTAGTTGATGAAGAACCATAAATTTCAATGATTTGTGATTTTCGTAGTCCATGATTTATATAGGATTAAGGTCCCCAAATAATGAACTGTAGTCCACAAACGAATCCCAAGTTTGAAGTTAAAGAAAGAAAGCGTGTTTGACTTCTATGTCAAGTAATTTCATTCGATCTTTCCCTATCACCCTCTTTTATTAATATTGCTGTTCTTCTTCCAGCTAATTGGTTCTGTCTCTCTCACTCTCTCTCGACTCTCGTGGGTGTGTTGAGAACTTGACTGTGTGTTGCTGTGATATGGGTGTTCAGGATTTCTTGGTGGTGACTGTCATTGGCTTTTGCTTCCAAGCTCAAATCTTGAGCTCTCAGAACTTGACATGCAATCCAAATGATATGAAAGCATTGGAGGATTTCACGTCAAGTTTAAAAACTGTGGTCGACGGGTGGGGAAGCAGTTTCTCATCTGATTGCTGTAAATGGGAAGGCATCACTTGCAACTCTTCATCCTCTCTCGGAATTGGATTGAACAATTCAATCGATACCTTTCGAGTGGTCAAGTTGGAGCTTCCAAGTAAAAGACTAGCAGGCAACCTCTCTGCATCTTTAGGCACTTTGGACCAGCTCAGAACCCTCAATCTCTCTCACAATTTACTCATGCACTCGCTTCCGACTTCGCTCTTCCATTTGTCGAATTTAGAGCTCTTAGACTTGAGTTCTAATGACTTTTCCGGCCCCATTCCAGTCGATATCGAGTTACCTTCAATCCAGTTCCTTGATATTTCTCAAAACCTTTTGAATGGTTCCCTTCCTGGCAGCATCTGTGACAAAAATTCTACTCAACTTCGGGTACTCAACATGGCCACTAACTACTTCTCTGGCAATCTTCCACAAGGTTTTGGCAATTGTACTTCCTTGGAGGACCTTGACCTGAGCACAAATTATCTTACAGGCACAAGTGATGGTATATCCAAAGGTATATTTCGTCTGCGAAAGCTAACTCGGTTGAACATTCAAGATAACATGCTGTCAGGGGCGCTCAGTGAAGAAATCGGTAACCTCATTAACCTTGTTCGTTTGGATATCTCAACTAATGGGTTTTCAGGAACAATTCCAGATGTTTTCCACAGCCTTGGAAGATTACAGAATTTTATAGCTCATTCAAATCGTTTTGGTGGTCAGATTCCCCCTTCCTTGTCGAGTTCATCGACTATTTCTTTGCTTAATTTGAGAAACAATTCATTGGAGGGCTCAATCGCTCTTAATTGTTCAGCAATGATTAGCTTGACCTCTCTTAATCTCGGTTCCAATCTATTTGATGGGCCTATTCCCTCCAATCTTCCCTCTTGTCGACATTTGAGTGATGTCAGTCTCGCCCACAACAACTTCCCTGGCGAAATACCAAAAAGCTTCGAGAATTTCCATAGCCTCTCTTACCTTTCGTTGTCAAATTCCAGCATATCCAATGTCTCTTCTGCCCTTCAAATTTTACAGCGGTGTCGGAACCTGACTACTTTGGTTCTCACTTTGAACTTTCCTGGCGAACAATTTCCCGCTGATCCAATCCTTCATTTTGAAAAGTTGAAGGTTTTGATCATTGCATATTGTAGGCTCACAGGTTCAATCCCCCAATGGTTGCGTACTAGCAGCAGATTGCAGTTGTTGGATATATCGTGGAACCAATTGGAAGGAGCAATTCCAATCTGGTTTGGCAATTTTAGCAATCTCTTCTACTTGGACATATCTAACAATTCTCTCAACGGGGAAATCCCAAGAAGCTTAACTGGACTACCGAGCCTCATTAATTGGAGGTGCCCAACTGAAGAACCTTCCCCTGATTTCCCTCTTTTTGCGTTGAGGGTGAGTGGACGAGGATTGCAGTACAAACGAGTTTGGAGCTTTCGGCCTACATTGGACTTTAGCAACAACAATCTCAGTGGAGCAATCTGGCCAGACTTCAGGAAGCTGAGGTCGCTTCATGTTTTGGATTTGAGGTACAACAGATTATCAGGACCGATTCCAAGTAGTTTATCTGAGATGGTGAGCTTGGAGACTCTGGATTTGTCTCATAACGAGCTTTCAGGGGTAATCCCCCCTTCGTTGGTTAAGCTTAGCTTCTTGTCCAAGTTTAGTGTTGCAGACAATGAATTGTATGGGGTGATCCCTACAGGAGGTCAATTTTTGACCTTCTCAAGTTCAAGCTTTGAAGGGAACAGTCTTTGTGGCCACGATGCTTCCCCTTGTCCTTCAGGAGAGGATGGTCCTCTGGGAAAATGGTACGGCAAATCAGACAAGGATTATACCGGAGTCATTGCCGGAGTGTGTGTCGGATTCGTATTTGGAATAGCATGTTTCATTGGGATAGATAGGTATATCTGGACTTTTTAAGGAAAGTACATCCTTCTTTTCTTTTTTTTCTTTTTTTTTTTAATTTTTTATTTTTTATTTTGTATGCTCGTAACGTAATGTATAAATAGTAGTATTACCCCAAAAAAAAGTGTTTTGGTTGTGAAGTGAGAGAAATTACAGCCCCATGTTGCCCGTATGTAACAACACTCGTACATAAATGATGAGAGGTGCCTTATACAGGCGTTTGTATGCAAGAACTTATCTTAAGTGATGGGGGTGGATGCCTTTGAATGTAACAAAAATAAAAGGATGTATTGTAAGTGAGACGGATTGAAAAATACTTGGCTAGGAGCATGTACTGAGGAGCTCCTCAATTCCCCCCCTTTACATGTGCTTGATTGGGTTAAATGAACTATTTAATAAGTTTGAGAAGGAAAAAAATAATGAACACATGTCTCTTTGTGAGTGTGTGATGTTGTATTATTAATAGATGACGTCGCTAGTAATGTCAGAAATTGTTCCCCAAATCTTAATTTAAAGTATTATAAAGTTCGACTGTTACCAAATAACCCAACGCATAAAATAAAAATCCACATAAAAGCTTTACCCCCTGCATTCAGCACCGACTCACCCAAAACTTTGTGTCTTAGGCCGTATACCTTAGGGCCGACATGAGACTACCTCTACTGATCCTAATAGCGGTCCTCACTTTGCTTTCTAAGTTATGATTTTTCTCTAGCCCACATGCCCGTTTACACATTTATATACACGTGAGTAAAATGGACGAACAAGATAAATCCTTTAATATACGTTACAACCGGGTGAAAGAAACCCGAATTGCAAACTCGAAAAGCTGAAGACCCGATTAACGTCACTCCTTTGCTCTCTCTCTGTTTCCTCTCTCTGGCGTCTGTCTGCTCCACTCCTCTTATGCAATTTTTCTTTTTCGAGAAGTAATATTTTTATTGTTTATTTTTTGTCCAGCTTTGTTGTATTTCCTACTTTTTAATCCGGATTATTAAAATTTGATCTAACTGTTAAAATTATTATAACGTTTAAAAAGAGCCCATCTTTTTAGCCATTAGATCAAATTTCAAAGATCCAAATTGATGAATTTAATAGAAGGAATCCAAAGAGAATCCCTTTCCGTATTATAAATCTAGCCGTCCAGATTAATTAATGGCTCAGAAAAAAAAAATGTGCAAATAAGATGTGCATTTACCTATATATGTGCACTACTAGGCTAAGAGGCCTTGGGCTAATAACAACTTAGTGCTTACACGCTGAGGCCCATTTAATACTTGATCAGGACAAAAAACCCCAGCCGAAGACAGTGCTCGGGAAAGTTTGTTAGGGATGTCTCGTTCTAATGGGGTCGCATCCGCAATCTGTAGCGAGTGGTTGATTACATCGTTAGTTTTGATTCTTAATTAATAGGATGCAAATTTATCCACTTAATACTACGATTTAACGATATTTCCTTTGATTTATAAGTGAGATGTTTTAGGGTCAAATTTCGTGGATAGCGAGTTCGATAACAATTTATTTTCTCACCCTTAGTGTAAGTATATTTTTGCATACAAATGTATGAGATTCTAATTGATTATATCTTTCGTGTTGGAAAATCAAATTAGACATTTGGAGAATGTATTGAATTGGGAATTTGAGAGATTTTAATAGACTTATAAATCCATGAATTTTTATGGATTTTAATTGATTTGTAGAGATTCTATGTAAATTTTTAATTCAATTCCTTCAAAATCTCATACGGAGATGTGAAATTTGTGGATACTTAAAATAAATTATGAAATATCTCCAATTCTCTCTAATTTAACAACTTTTTCAAATTCTTTAAAATAAATTCACAATTGAATACAATTGGAACATTATAAACTTATTTAAAATCCTAATTGAATACACCAGATTTCTAAGGATGTTAATAGTCTATCTTAAAATCCTAATTGAACACACTTTGAATTTCATAGAATCACTTAAAATTCTGATTGAATACCCATAAACTCATTAAAAAAATTAAAATCTCTCAAAATCCTAATTGTATACACCCTCTACTTTTGGCACAAGAAAAGTAAGCATATAATTTGCAGGGTCTGTTACTTGAGTACTAGTTATGACGAAAATCCATAGAGTAAATATACCATGCTTGACATTGAAGCATGTAGTGTAAACCACTAATTCCTAAAAGTAAAATATTAAGTCATTATTTCTCTAAATACGATTAACATTGATCATTCGATCAATCTTAAACTTAGATTTCACGAAACATAGGATTAATTTTCTCTTTTATTATTTCCCTAGTTCATATGTGGATGATGAGTGACGCAGGGCTTGGCTCACATCTTCTGCATATAGGTCTTGTCTGATACGTCAGACTGGACTGACTAATCTTTGCATCAGATGGTACACTCTAACCGCCTCAAATGTAAGAGAATCCAATGAATTAGGAATTTAGGATATTTCTGGTGGGCGGCTGGTTGTACGTATTAAATTAGTGGTAGCTCCAACATGAGGATTGAGGACTGAGGAGGAGGAATGGAGGATCATACAGATAAAGGTGCATGAAACTTTTCATATAAATATACAATATCCAGTACAGATAGTTGGGATAGTCTTGACTACTTCTACTTTGGAGGTGGATGTCGCTATTAGGGTCCGTCAAACTTTTCTTAATTGTTAATGGAGGAAGTTTAATTCAAGACAAACACGTACACTTTACTTACCAAAAAAAAATCGTGCACAAGTGGGGATGGATGAATATACACAAATTGTGCGTATGGATGACTTCTTATTTTCTTTTTTCTTTTTTCTTTTTCTTTTTTTTTTAAGATACAAGCTGTGTTATACACTAAATTTATCTAAATAATGAAAAAATAATTTTGAATGTGAGTACATAAAAAGAGATGTATCGTTCTAGCTAACTTGATTGAGCTGAAGCTATGAGAATATGGACGCCTATCAATCTATCATTTTGCCTATTTTTGAGCAATTTTTTTAACTGAAGTGACCCCAAGTTCTTGGATAGTACATCCTGATGAAGTATTTGATCATGGTTGAAGATTTTGAAGAAAGTTAGAAGTTTCATCATAAAATCAATTAATCATATAGAGAGTAATTCAATCTTTTCTAAGCCCTTGTATGGTTTATCTCTCATTGATGTAGGACTGTCCTCACATTCTCACACGTCTTTCGCGTGTGACGAATTTTCAAACTTAACATGTGAACAATACAAATGGGATGACGTGGAGTATGTGTGGCCATTTGGGTTTCACACGTGAGCTAACCTACTCTGATGTTATCAAAAAAGTTGGAGTTTCAACATAAAATCAATTGACAATACGAAGAATAGCCCAATCTCTATAATCCCTTGCATAATTTAGTTCCTCACTAACATAGGACTTTGTCCTCACATTCTTATACGTTTCTTAATATCTCTATGTAAAGGCTGAGTTTGCATGTTTGGTTAAAAGTTTGCCCTAGTACGTACGTACTCTACATGCATGCATGCATGTATGATCTCTCTGCCCGTATATATAGTTTTCGCATCAGTCGATTTATTTTTCTTACTTTTTGTGTGTGGATTGAAAGGTTAAGCTTTAGGTGACAAATAGAAGAAAGGTTAACCCTTTACGACAAAGATTATATATGAAACACAGGTGAACAGTTGTGGACATTAGACATATATCATACATGTGACATCTTCATTCTTCACAAGATCGATCATGTATCCCCCGATGGATAAAAAGGTTTTGAATTTTCTTTTTTTAAAGAGATAATTTCCTTGTATTTTACGTGATTACTTATTTGGTTATTTATAATTTTCTTTTATTATGCTAAGAAAATGGCAATAAACTACTAATTTTTATACGAGCTATATTGATGAGAAAATAGACAATCTCATAACTAAGCACGTCGCGCGCTTGGTTGGGCTGGCGAGCGAAGTTATCTACCGGTCAATTGTCCACACACCCAAAGCTTATCGCCATCTCCGTCGACGTCGAGACTACCTTTACGTTTGATTTGTGTAAAGATAAATGAGATTAACTAATTGAATTATAAATCCTTTTAAATAAAATGAATTACACATTACACGGTATACACACACGTACACACACAAATGTCCCACGAGATCTGTACAACTTGGACCTGCTTACTTACCCAAAACGTTTTAATCCCAAACCTTCTTCTGTATATATGTGGTCCAAACCTGTTGTTTATATTTGACCCTTGAGTTGTGACGTTGTTTGTTTCTTTGATTATAGACATGTGTTTGAGATTTGAGACATTCATATTTGACTATTCTGATTAATACAGTCTACGGACAGTATGTTACTTGTAAGCATTAATATTATTGAATAATAAAGACCACAAATTCATTGAAAAATCAAAACATTTAATCTAAAATATTGGGGAAAGCAGAAGAAGCAAAGTCTTCAACTGCGTTCTGTACACGGCGATTTGATTTTTTTAACCAACGTTGGATCATGCACGCATGGTTGATCCATGGAGTTCAATCTCTAGTATATAGAAATCAAATAACTAAATTATTCACCTAACCTTGAAAATTAAGAAATGACGACTCTTATTTAGACAAAAAATAAATAACTTTTATTTTACAATATATATATATATATATATATATATATATATATATATATATACTTATTTGAAAATTGAACCCCATATGATCATACCATTCTTTAATTCAAGTCAAGGATGGTTTCACTTCTCGAATGTCAAACTCTATATAAGGTGATACGTTGTCCTCCATTGTTTAAAATCCCTTTTTAAATTTTGACAGAAAATCATTTTCCGAGTCTCCATCTCTGACTTCGGTTTCGTTTACCATCTTGAAAATGGCATTCTAGTTCTTAGTTAATAAAAAAAAAAACACATTTGTTAATATACTTTTTATATAAGCGCGTCTCATATGGAATTGTAATGTCCCACTCTATTTGAAAATGTGGTGGATTTGTATGTCCAAATAAAATCGTGGTAAAGTTTGATTTTTTTATTATTTATTTTTAAAATGGACTAACTGGTGGCAATCGCCACAACAGTCCACCTCTTCGGGGGCCGGACAGAGACATTTCAGTATTCTCATGTCACTATCGTGTGATTTATCTGCATCAGAAATCAAACATTACCACATTATAATTTCATATATATATATATATATATATATAGCAGGTTTATGTGATATGGATGAGAAAGATTTTGAGTAAATTAGCAAGAGTAG